ATGCCCTAAATATTAAATATATCGAGTGAGCATTCTTAGAAATATTAATATTGCAATTCTTACCCAATTTTACTCTGAACTTGACAGCTAAATTTTCTATACAAGTACACAAAAAATGCGTCGAATTTTGAAGCCTTTAATTAGTAGTTGCAAATTTGTTTGTCCCTTAGCAACTTGTATTTGCATAAAGATTAAGGCCTGTCAGAATGAAACGGATAGAACATAGATGGAGGAAACATTAATAAATTAGTAATCATGTATAAAATATAAGTAGACTTAGATGTCGTTTCCATAAGCTTTATTAAAATTGAAATTCTTTTTTAAAGATGCAGTTAATATTTTTTCCACAGCTGATCATTTCTAAAGAGAGATCTGTCATGAACTGCGGAATTAGAGAAATTAATGTATTGAGGTCAGACATTAGTATGTAAATTAAGCCTTGCTTTTATTCCGTATGGCAACAGAAGCATTACCTTATATTTGACCTTTCATTCATTTCGCCTGACTCAGCTGTGTCAGTCAAAACAATTAATTCTACGGAGCAGCTTTAAAGTGTGGGGCTCAGCTTTCTTCTCCTCCCCTTGCCCTGGTGTAAATCCCATGAGAAAGGAGCTAATGGAGGGAACCTGCACAAGATTCTCTTCCTGGAGATTTGTTTCAGCAGTTTGGAGTTTCTGATCCCTGCCCCGCAACTCCGCTGCAGCACTTGTCCGCAGACATTTGACAGGGTTTTCAGGGAGACTAGAGCCAAGCCTGGCAACCCTGTGTGCTGTGCCCAGACTCCCAAGGTCAAGTCCTGAACGACACGGTATATAAAGTGTTTCTTGGAAGTCGCTTTCTGGAGTGAGAAAGAACCGGCTTGTAAATACACACAGGAGTTTTCAGCAACACTCGGAGTCTGACAGGTAACATCACAAAAATGCGCACTTCTCTGTTTTCCAGCTGACTGATGACTTAATGGTGGAAATGTGAAAATCCTCCTTATTTTTTCATTGTTGCTGGACTTGGAGCTGTATTTCTGCTTTTTGGAGCTGTACTGCCAGTGCTTCTACCAGTCTTTGAGTGCATGACCCTTGGGGAGTTACGTCATCCGGCTCACCCTTATGGTGTGGCGATGGCAGATGGCGGCGAAACGCAGAACAAAATGTCACGGTGCGTTGCAAGCGAGCGTGATTTATCTAGTGCTAGGGCGAAAAAAGACTTTGTGCACTGTTTCCTTGCAAAAATGTGCAGATCACAGTAAAATTCTTTTTTTTTTTTTTTATATCGACACAGTCTGGCTGTAATATACCTAGCTAGGCAGTTTTTCTTAATTAGTTGTGTTGAGAGCGCATTGAGATTGGGTGCACACAAGTGTGTTGAATAGATCTACAGGATATAAACTTTTATTGGAGTACTGTCTGTGGTAGCAGTGGAGAATTATACTCGGAATACAGTCAGTGGTAAATGCTTGCAGTTCAGGTGAGTGTGCAGAACAGGGAAGTCTCTGCATCAATTCAGTTTTACAAATTTGGAGAAGCTTTTGTCGAGGTTTTCTCCAGAAGGTTGTGTTTTCATTAAAAGCACAAATTATAACTTTAATTCAAATTAGATGATCAAGTTAATTAAGTTATACAGCATTAGCAAAGGAAACGTGAGAAAATGTTGGGGGAAAAAAAAAAAAAAAAAAAAAAAGGAAACAAATTGTTAAAATTTATAAAGGTAGTAACCTGTGAAACCAAATTAAGAAGCATTTTCTCTTTTTTTACTTAATGGAAGTACAGGATTTGGCAATAAAGATTAGAATTAAGTTTTCTTGTTTTATACGTTGGGAAAGTCTATAAAATATTTAGGCTGAAAGGAATAAGACATGCAGTAACATACAATAAAGCTGGTTTTCTTTAAAAAACCAAAAGTTTCTAACACAAAAAACAGTTTTAAGAGCTGTTTCAGTAAAAGTTTGAAATGGGAAGCTGGTTTTGAGTTTTTATCCATGATCTCAAAGGCAGCTGTAGGCTTTTCTCCATAGAAAGGAGCGGAAGAAGGAAATTCTAGGTGGTAATTTAGAGCCTCTGCCTTATTATATTCAACAGTATTTTTTTTCTTTGACATAATACAGGTTTTTTTTCCTTCAAACACAATTTTCTATGACGCTAATGCAAACCAAACCTAGCCCTGTTTAATAATTTGGCTGTGTCTATTCCTCCTCAGCCAGGCAGGCAGTCTTCTGTGGCTCCCAGCACTGATGTGTCCAGAGCATTTGTTTACCATTATGGTTTGGCTGTTCTCTTCATTGACCATTTCACATTTGAGGATGGGCGTTGAAGAACGAAAGGCTGAAAAACCCCTCTTCTAAACTACTGTACTTCCTCAGAAGTTCCAGGGACCTGTTACTTAGCAGGAAGGAGGTACGGATTTGCAGATGGAGACTGCGCTGAAACGTTGTTCCACAAGTCAGACCTCCATCTCTGTAAGGTAGAGGGGTTGGAGAGCAGACCAGCCTCCCTCTTGCACCGAGGAGCGCCGGGGCTATCATTAACTGCTCTGAAGCTGATCACTTTAACAATCTCTTCAGCATTTTCTGTAAAAAAAGAAAAAAAAAAAAAAAGAAGACATTTCCTCAGCTCTACTTGCGTCTTTTTAAGTGAAGCTTTATATTTTTTTAACTGAAAACATTCATGATGAATGAATAATGTACAATCAAAACCACTCTTGAATTTAAAATAAGACGGGGTTTGGGGCTTCCAGGAGTCATTAAAACGAGAGTTATGTTACAAACAACACAACCTTCTCTCCTACTGGGTACAAGGTTTCACATTTTGTCAAGGTCTAGTTCAACTGGCTGAACATTTGAATTTTTAAATCCATGAACAGACCTTTTAAGATTAAAAATAGAAGCCTGCATGCTTATTGTTTCTTGGCTGTACGTACTCTCGCTCTTGGCAGACAGAGGGTACTCGATGGCAGTGAAAACCACCACCCAACACGAAAAAATACATAGGAAAACAAATAACATATTGAACTTTACTTAACTGAGGACAAGAATACCATTATTCTACTTCACTGTCCGCAGCGGAGTGTTATCAAAGCACTACCTAAGATTTGTATTTATTTTTTAAATAGTTTTTAGTCTTTTATCTCAGAAGTGAACACATTTATAGCTGTTCAACATCCGTGAATGTAAGTGTGGCTACAAAAGAAGTGCCATAACTTTAAAATTTTGTAACAATAGTCTTAGAAGAACAGATGCTTTGTGAATGACAGTGTGACAGTCCCATCCGAGCAGCGATGGCAGTTATGAGGACTTAAAACACCAAAAGCGGCTGAACACGATGCTTTTTACAAAGAACTGTTGCAACGGCTGCTGACATTCAAAGCTCATCTGAACGAACTTGGAGCTGGCATTTGGTGCCCGGAGAAGTTTCCAGCCTTGGTTTGGCACTGAGCAGTCACGTCTGCGGGTACAGTGCGGGCAGGTGCTGCCGTGGATGTGAGCTGCTGCCAGTTGAAGGCAACATCTGCAGGTGTGAATGAGTTCAGAGCCCAGATTCGAGCAGGGTTTGAAACCTGGCCCCAAAAATGTCTTTTAGAAATTAGATATCGCAATTTAGTTCATCCTAATTAAAACTTCTTTTTGCAGGTTTGTTTTTTTTTTTTCCTGTAAGGACCATTTGTTTTACAGTTGTCATACATCTATTTTCACTATACCTCTCACCAGACGTTGCAAGTATAACTTTGAAGTATTCTGTACTGAAAGAAGGCACAATGTGGCAATGGATTAATGTCTTTCAGGGAAAATTAGTAGAGAAGAGAGTCTACAAATCCCATGGGGATATTTGTAATGAATGACTGACTACAGGATGCTTGTATGAGGGCTAAGGAAATCTGCCTTTTGCAATCGAAGTCGGAAGGTACAGATTTACTGTAGATTTGACTTAACTTTTACAGTGCTGTGGGTGGATAATAACCATGTTGGTTGTTATCCTCTGCTGGAACAGAACTTTCTGAAGGACACTAAATCTGCTCAGGAGCACAAAGATCAAGGTAGTAAAAGCACTAATTTTTGTTTAGTACCTAGTGTGAATTATACTTATTCTTGATGATAGGTACTTAGAAAAAATGACTGGAAAGAAAATGAAAACCTGCATATGCTTAGTGGGTGACAAATAATTACCATCAGCTATCAGACTTCCTGAACTTACGAGGATCGCAATCTTTAATTTTATCTAGAGGTGTCAAACACAGAAAAAAAGTAAAAATATGCCATGCTGAATACACATGTAATTTTTATTTTAGAACATCATTATCTCGATCAGCTTTGTTCAGGGAATTTGGCAATGGCAATGAAGATGAAATAATGTATTTTGACAGTATGCACAGAGGATTTGAAGAAAAAAATAATGGGATTGCCCAGAAATTTTCTTCTGTGTAGTGCCAGTATGCATTTATGTGAACTGTATTGCTTCTGAATGAATGGTGAGAATTTCATCTTTGCAAATATATCTTACTGTTCATACCTTATGTGTCAGGGAAGGTGAAAGCTTTTAATCATTACTGGAAAATAAGTTTAAGTAGCATTAGTTTATTACAATCTCTAAGTGTTTCCCATGAAATATTCCATGAAATCTCACGGAATTTGTCTTTTTTTTCTACATACCTGTATTTGTTTGATGCTGATAACACCAACGTGCTGTTACTATCTGGTGTTTCCTCGTCTGTGTGGAAGAAGTTAGCCCGTTACCTTTTGTGAGGTTGTAAAGACCTTTTGAAAGGAATATGGATATTCTACAGCATCACAGTGAATACACACAGCATCAGAAAACAGTCTGTTACCCTTTTAAATGCTTTTGTAATGTGATTTCTGCTTCAGGGAACCTCAGTAATTGTTCTTGATTTTTCATTATTGTAAAAATCTCATAAAATAATGGTTTATAATTAAAAAAAAATAATCCAGAAAGACAGCATATTGAATCTTGTAAGAATAAGGTTAACATAAGATGCAATTATTTTATGTGCTGCAGGTGTCAGACATTGGAGCAGGTGTCAGAAGCAAGCGAGGAGCTGTTGGATGCTGGACGGGCAGACAGACTGGAATATGAGGCCAGCAGAAGTCCAGAGGCTGGCCTCCCCTCCCTTTGTCTCAAGCAAGTGTTTCCCAAGTACGCCAAGCAGTTTAACTATCTGCGACTTGTGGACAGAGTGGCTGCACTGTTTATCCGATTTCTTGGTGTAAAAGGGACAACAAAGCTGGGGCCAACAGGTTTCCGAACATTTATAAGGTTAGTAAGGTGAAGGGTTTCTTTAGGAACTGCTTAAAGCGTGGTCGAGGTGTTGGAAACTCCCGATCCTATGGGGTAGCACCGCTGTCCCTGTGCTTGAGTTTTGTGGAATGAAAACAGGCCCTAACATTTGTACGCTTTTAGCTTCTAGGTTTATTAATGCCTTCTAAAGAAACTTTTCCCCATAAATTCCATTGAGCCATTGCGTATTTGTTAATAAAATAGATGTATTTTTATCATTCCAAGCTTCCAAAGTGCCTGACCTATGAAACCGTGTCTAGTAAGAACCTGGGTCTTTATTCTACGGCAGATCAGTGATACTTCAGGAGATACTATTTGTGGTCTTAGTCAACGTGTCGTGTTCCTAGCAAATCGTAGGAATGCCACTGTGAGAAGGTGACAACTGGCTCACTGGATGCGATTCTGTTGGCTGTGGGGGCACAGCCATCTGCCCCGGGCCACAGGAAAGGATTTCCAAATGCCGGTGGCTGATGCATTGTCACTAAGGATTTGCATTGTGAAATTGCAACTTGCAACAGCAAGGAACTCAATTTACTTTTTTCACACACTTTTTATTTGTGAGATGGTTTTTTTCATTGTTTTTTATGGATATATCTGTTCTAGTCATGGTACAAATATCTCATTTTCTGTCTTTCATTGACAATGACAAACAAAATAAGCATCAGCAGCAGATGTACTCTTAAAACACGGATCCTGTTTCTATGCAGATGCATTTAGCATTCAGGAATGAATATAAACAATTTGATTTATACAAATTATGATGTATAGAAAATGACTGAAGGCATCTGCTCTATCCACAGACTCATACAGGATTGTTTCCAGTTCTGTGTTTTCTATTGTTTAGTCCAGCCTTAATTTGGCACTTGTCAGGGGAACACAGAATAAATGCCAACATTTTCTTTAAAGAATATTAAAATAAAATGCCATATCTCAATGAAATAGTGTTTGCAGTTTCCTAATGCATGTTAAATTAAACCTTTTAATATTGGCAAATAGTTTATTTTTTCCCAGAGCATCTATACCAACTCTAGGGCCCTTTTCTGAAGTGCTGCCATTGCTACCCATCTCAGAAATAAGGTCATGTTTCTAAGGTGTGTGCTGTGTTGTTTTTCAAGAACAAAACACTCCACAAGTGTGATTTTTGCGCGTGTGTGCATGTGCACGCAGGCAAGTAGTTGCAGAGACTATCTACTCAAATTTTAGCTCATCAAAATCTGTTCCCTTTCAATAATTTCTTCATACTAAAAGGAAAATGCCAGACATGGCTTTAATCCTTGCTTGGAGGCTGCCTTAGATTTTCTTGGGACTATCTAGGGCTGACCTTAACTCTGTTTTAAGGGAGCTCTGCTTAGGCTATTAAAAAGTAAGATTATTTCAAATTATCCAGGATTTTTTGGGGGGGGAGATGTTGCTTGTTTGTTTTTGTTTTTTTTTCTTTTCTGGCTAGAAGTTTTGGCCAGCTCTTTGGCATGTGCACTAGTTTCAGCCAGGCTGCCAGACATCTGGAAATCCTGGACAGATGGCTGATTCTTACACACTGATCAACACTACACGACAGGCCTAGACCACACAAGTGTCAGCCGTGTGCTTTCACCAAATGCCCGAGACGTGTCCCGAGACGCCGCTGTTCTCTGTGCAGTGTTCAGTTACACACAGGGTAAATCTGCTCAGTGTTCAGACATGAAGAAGTAATTTTGTGCCTGAAGACTTTCCTCCAACCCTTTTCAAACGGGATCAGTCAGTAAATAAGAGTGTTTCTCTGTGCAGACTCTGTCTCGTGTCGATAGTCTGTGCAGATTCGTGCTGGATTTTGCAGCGTACCGATTAGTTCCATTCTGTTATGGTCTCAGGAAGAGTTACTAGTGATAGCCTGGGAGAAAGCTGTGTAACGATCAAGTTATATTTTTAATTGAAATAGTCAGTTTTTTTTTTTTTTTTTTTTTTTTTTTTTTTTTTTTTTTTCCTGCTTTGTTGCAAAACCAAAATAAACCGGTTAATCTCTGATCCGACCGGTACCTTCTTGTGGCTAGAGGCTGCTGTGAGCTTGCTCCCGCCGGCTGGATTCAGGTGCACACCTCTCAGCGGGCTGCGCCTCCTGCCCAGAGCCACCCCTGGCAGAGGAGGTGCCTCTGTGATCTGGACAGGCAGCAGAACCAGGTACCTGCAAGAGATGTTCAGCACGTGACAAATTCAGGGCCCGTACCATTTCAGATACGTACACATTGGCTTGCCTGCTGCGTGTCTTTCGTGAGACTGAGGGTCTTACAGTGGGTGTGCACGTATGACATGGGTAAATTTTTCTTACCAGTGTTCTCTCAGTTGCCCTTGCAGTATTTTTCCTGATTTGGAAGTTTGGTTGTAATCAGAATTTCTTCTTTATTTTTGTCTCTTTTTAACAGAAACTGCAAACTGAGTAACAGTAATTTTTCAATGGCTTCTGTAGATATCTTATATATTGATATCACAAGAAGGTGGAACAGCATGGGAATCGACCACAAAGAATCAGGTAACACTATTTTGTATTCAGAGGCTATGGAAGCTGGAGTTTTTTGCAATTATGGCAGCTCAAGCATATCTCAAACTTCCAATTAAAAAAATGGGCACAAGGCATGTACATCTGAGGCATGTTTATGTACAACAAATTCTTCCTTTCAGTACTGTGGCAGGTTCCCTTTATCTGCAGAACAGATCACTCTTAGTTTGCAGTTTATTGATTGGAACAAGTCTTCTGCACGCCCCTTTTTATGCTTGCAATTTTGCATTTGTAAGGCTTGTTGCTGTTGGCAGAGAAACATTTAAAACCATTCCCAGTGGAACCTTCCACTTAGTTACAGTGCAGGAAGGTATGTCCGTACTGGAGGAGCTTACGTGGTCTGGCAAAACCTCAGCAAAGCGAGTGCTATACAGGAGCTAAAAATAAATATGCTTAACTTCTCACTTTGACTTGTGTTCCCCAAAAAAAACGTTAACTTTGGGGACAAACAAACCCACCTGTATCCTTTCCATTCCCAGAGAGCCCCACCCTGCCCAACAATACACTCCCCTTTTTTTCCTTTTCATTGTCTTTGTCCTGGGTGAGGGAAGGACTGTAGGTTTCCGCGCAGACTTGCGCAGTGCTCAGCTATTAAATAGGCTCTTGTTCGGGATGAGCAGCAGGGCTTTTTTGCTACAAGCACCCCTTGCTGTAAATTGTTCATACAGGAGCTAGGTCAAACAGCCAACCTAGCCTTCAGTAGTGAATCACCTCCCCATCTGCTTTAGTCACATTTTTAATCTGAGACAGTAATCTATCAAATAGCAGCATTCAGGGATTATCTTCCTGTTATATTAATGGCCTAAATACACTATTTAATATATGACTTAATTTCCAAAATGGCTATTACATTTCTGTATGAAATTGAGTCCATAAATTTGCCAGCTTTTCCATAGCTTTTGTAAAATGTTGAATTATTTCAACTGTCCTAATATTTCCATCTCAACAACAAAAAATATGTTCCTGATGACATTTTTGGAGCCATTTATAGTAGGGAAACAGCAGCTGGAGTATTCTGGAAGGTTTTATGCCACTACTGCTTGTGGCCATCAAGGAAGATTGTCAAGGTTCCATTTAAATCAGTGCCGGGATAAAGAAATCCACTTCAGTGCTGCTGGTATAAACTGGCATGCTGGTCACAGAGCTGGCATCTTCCTAGAAATGCTGAACATGGACATCAGTGTATATACTCCTGTGTCTTTTTTAATGCTAAAATAGCAGAAGAATCAAAAGTCTCCCAATTTGAGACTGACTTTTGTATTTGTGATCCCACCCCCCTGAAGTACATCTGTAGTTCCCTCCTGCATAAACATCAAGAAACAGTGATACACATAATCATTTGTGGGAGTGTGGTCAGGTATGACAGCAGCAGAATTATTTGTATATAACCTTTTTTTGAATGTTTGAGCTTCAGGAATGTTAGTGAGGATTATATTTGTATGAAATAGATAAGTATTCTTTTGTCTTGCTTGAACATGTGTCCTATATATCCTGTAGAGTCTGTGTATATGAAGTCAGATAAGGCGAAAAGAGAATAAGTAAAATAGGCTGTTCACGTGGCTGACAGAAAGAATAAATCCAGACCTACAATGAGAAGGGAGAAAATGAAGGTATAATGCAGAGGAGATAGTATGGTTTATTACGCGTGAACTCCTGTACTACTTTAGGTGGGTTAATGTCACCTTAGTTTCGCAGGTATGTGAAGTTTGAATATTTACATTTAGCATTTCAGTGTGGGTATAAGTCATTTATGTGGTTAGCTGATACAGTTTCACTAGCCAAAAAGAATAGAAATGCAAGTGAATCTTCAGGCCTTCAGAAATTAAGTTTTGTTGACACTCTCAATGACCCAGATGTTTTGTAGGTGTTAAAACACAAAATACTCAACCGTTTGTGTTGGCTTTACATTTGGCCCACTTCCCGCTGTAACCAGGACAGGAACTATTGCTGTTCTTGTAAAACACCGGCTTCTAACTTTTTTCATTTAAGTGCTTCACATGAGTGTCACTTATGAGGGAGAAAGCGTGTATGCTACCAAAGGTGCTTTCCCTGCCTGCAGCTCGCTGTGACTGATAAAATAATTTACTGAGCTGGCAGCTGCTTCTTTCAGATAACTCAACAATTCCTTTGCAAGCTACTTTACAGCCAAAATCGTAAGCGACTCCAGCTGCAGCCTTAGCTGAAATTATACTTCAGAATGTAATTGTAATATTTTGAAAAGGTGCCTTTCCTGCAGCATCAAGAAGCCAAATTAAGTTAAAAAACCCAAACCTTTCAATATCTCATCCTAAAATAATCTTCTTAAGTGTATGTTCAAGCTGGGAGAGCCAGTTAAAGCACAAAGCAGCTATAACTGTTCCTTGTTGCTGGCATTCTGCAAACCCAATTGTGGTCTGGCTTCTTAATTAAGAATTAAAGTAGGTATTGCTTGAAGGTTTTAAATACAATAATTAGTGTTAATGTGCAGCCCCTCTTTCTATTGGCTGTGGTGATGCGTTATTAGTAAGATGTGATCAGACACCACCTGAGGAGTCTGTACGTCAGCATGTGGCTTCTGCAGGGGACTACTGTTTGTGAAGAGGCAGAACAGAGTTTTATTCTAGCAGAGAATAGCAGAGGAGTTTGTTGGCGCTGCACCACCTTCCCTTCGTACACACTTTGGCTCTTTTTCATTCAGTTGAAACAAAACTACTATTGTAGAGTTACTGGGTGTGGCTGAAAAAATGACCTCTTGACTTTCAAAAGGAGAGCTAAGGATTTTAGCCTTTGCAGAAGGAAAGTAACCCTTCAGATAAACTCACTTGTGCGAGAAGGTGGTACTTGGTAATGGCGTTATCCTTATAGTGCTACAGACTGAAATGCCATGCTGTTTCAGTAGTTCTACATTTGAACTTTTGTTTAGGTCCATCTCTAAATATGTAAGATTTAAATGACCCCATTCAGGTGCTGGTATAAACCTGGTTTCCTCTCCAGGTGGATTGTTTTCCTTGAAGTTCAATCCGTTACGGTGTGTCTAGTTTCAATTTAATATTTGAAATCAAGGCTGATATTACATCAGTTTAATTGCACAATATCTTAAAGTCAGTGGTTGCTGTACCAGTTTGCCAGGCTGATGTCAAATAAAACCTTGTCTTTTGGTCTTCGAAGGACAGACGGTGTCTTAGCGAGCAGTCTGGATGGCTGCTGTTTAAATTAAAAGACGTTAACTACCACAATTGTATGTGTCCACACCCAGCACACACACATTTGGCCTTGCTGCCAGAAGAACCGAGCGATATTATTATGTTTACAGAATGCAGTTTGCTAGGGAACGCTGTGCTGTGAATCTCCTATAAACACCTTTTCCTTGCAGGAATGTGTTTGCAAGCTTTTGTCGAAGCTTTCTTTTGCCTGGCTCAGAAAAAATACAAGTCCCTCCCACTTCATGAGCAAGTGGCATCGCTGGTCGATTTTTGTGAGTATCATCTGGCTGCCCTGGATGAAAAGCGCCTGGTTTGTGGCCGTGGGGTTGTGGAGCGCCGAAGTGCAGTAGTTCCTTGTCAGACAGATGGACTTCACCTTACACCAGCTGCACACACCCCCCTCCTGAATCACACTGCCACAGCTAGTAAATTTGCAGATTATAGAAATCATCGCTATTAACGGTGCTGATTCACCAGGACAGAACTGAGAATTAATCCCCAGGTATGTACGTGTACTGCAGGAGGACAGACTCTTGAATTCCTGCATCTGATAGTCACATTTATTTCAGGTTTTTTTAATTATGCTCTTCAAGAAGTCTACTGCCAGCTCCCATTCTCAAATAAAGAATGATCCTGATAATGGCTATTTATTTATTTGCCTCTGTTGGACCTAGAGTACACCTCACGTGACAAACTGTGCTTTCATCCCGAGTGTATAGAAAACTGCATGTGAAGAAAGGACCAAAATACAGCAGGAAGATATCCAGCATGATGGGATCGGCTGCACTGATGGAGGGGCACACTCATCTCAAAGGAATTACGTTGCTGTCTATGCACTGGACGTACCATGGAAACCAAGTACGGAGCTGCGGTCTCAAGTACCAGTTGTGGACTTTGGAGAACTGAAACCTGGAATTATGTTTGTGGTCAGACTTCAGGCTTCGACTCTCTTCTTTCAGTGGCTTGGACTGTACATGTTGGAATCAATACAGATTGGTCATTGTCTATGTACTTACTTTTTTAAAGTCAGTCTTAAAACATTGAAATCATATTTTGGCTTCTACTTCTTTGTACATGTCTTTGCCATGACAAGCACTGTTAATTTTTTAAAGAAAAACTAAAGATGTTTATCCTTTTGCTTCCACAGAACCAATAAGCTCACACTTATTCACAGAAAAAAAATTTACTTCTTTAAGTCAAATTTGGTGAATCAAGTGGTGGTTTTGTCTTCAGGTACTATGCACTGCTTCTGCAAAAAGCTTTACAGTGTAAAGGCCTGAGAGTTCATTTAAATTCCAGTGAAACTTTAGATTAAACTGACTGTATTCTAGGTTTGCTTATTTTTTGCCTTCTGCGTGTTTGTTACCCTGTTTGGACCTGCAGTAACATCAAGAGCAGATATATATTTTTTTTTTTTTTGTATTTGCACATATTCTGAATGTTTTCCCTTAAATAACCGTATAACTGTACCAATTAGATCTGTATTATTTAAGAGGTTATTTTGACAAGAATGCTGAGTTGTACAGAGTAGTCTTATTTTTCAAGAAATGAACTGTGACTTCCGTAATCAGACTCTTTTTGGGGAGGGGCTAAGCAGAACAGGAGACAGACTGAAAGAACAGGAGTAATTTGGAGCTTCAGGGCTGTTCAGTCAGATTCTTTTTGGTCTTGTGTTTTATTACAGTAATATATGTCTACATCTGAGTTTGATTTTTCCTCCTTTGTTCTGTTCTTTAATGCTAATGATTCTGCTTACGTTCTAGCGTTCCTCATCCTGTCAAAAATCGCAAAGCTGTAAGATGAGCTCCACGTCAACATGTTCAGTGGCTGGTGTATCAGAAACGCGACCTTGGAAGCACATTGTCAGTGCAGCCCACTTAATGTCACGGACTAAATGCACACACAGTATTGAGTGAGTTTTTACTTCAGGAAAAGTTTCGAGTTCCTTTCCTGATTTTAGTTCCAAGCAGCATGCGTTTTTTCCTAAGTGGCAATCAGCAGCATGGCAATACAACGCAGAAGTTAACACCTAGCACGTCCCCTGCTCTGCCTGGGAAAGGCTCGAGGCCAGGTTGGACGGGGCTTTGGGCAACCTGGGCTAGTGGAAGGTGGCCCTGCTCGTGGCAGGGGGGTTGGACTGGATGGGCTTTAAGGTCCCTTCCAGCCCAAACCATTCTGTGATTCTGTGTGTTAATACTGGGCGTGGGCATCTCTTCTTCTCTTACCTTTTTCTGTAATTCCAATGAAAGTAGTAGTAGATGATGTTTTTTAGTTCAGTGGTTAGACTGTTTGAAATTTTATGTATTGTACATAAAAAGGACAATTGTAGACTAATGCCACTGCCCTCAGCCTTGTTTAAGTTTCATAAAGATTATTGCAATATGAAGATAAAATGCCAAACTCCAAGGTCTGGCATCTGTCAGAACAAATGAAGCTGAAAGGGTCATTTTTTTTCACACTTCCATTGTAATATATTTGAAGACATTCACAAGTTGAAAAATGGTTACTTCTCATTTTGTGACATCTGACATTTGTCTTGCGATTGGCAGTGTGTTACTAGAAAATAGCTTACAGTTTCTCTCATCTGGTGATTGATGTCCTGTGAAGAGAGAGTTATAGAAGAGACGGATTTGAAATGCTACAACTGCAAATGCCTTTCCTTACAGCTTTCAAGTAGTACAGTCTACGGCCTAAAATATCCAGGTTTTGCTGTTGTATAAGTTACCCTGATGTCAGTGGAATAAATTAACTATGGTATATAATGAACACTGGTAAGATCTCTCTCTGTTTTGGAGATCTTTGTATTCTCTGGATCTAATTCAGGTTTTTATAGCCTGTGCATACACGGGCTGATGCAGTATGCCCTGTTTATCTCCCACTTCAAATATGAAGGGTCCCTTGTAGAATAGTCAAAATATTCAGTTATCCGCCTCTAGTAATCCAGTGTTCATGTATTTATGTAATTGGAAAATTGAATGCCATATTATTCTCAGGGGGAGGAGGGGGCTAAAGCAAGAGTGTACTTTAGAGACTTAATGACAGTCACATTTCTCTTCCCTGCCATCTCATGCAGTTTCCTCTGCATATTATTTAGCATCCAAAACAATTTCACATTGCCTTTAAGTTACCAGTCTGTGCACACGTGAAAAAATGACCAGAGACACTTTATTCGGAACATGAATGCTAATGCACTGGTAATCTGTTAATCCTGAGGTACCTTTCTAGCAAGTGAATCAGTATATGAAAGATAGTAGGTGTTTGAGGTTGTTTTTTAATAATACTTTTTATAGAACACAGCAGTCTATTCTGTTTATGACGCATATGATATGAACATTGCCTATCAGTGAGGTCTTCCTCATTGCCAAACACACCGGGTCTGGTATTCCTCACTGGGGATAAATCAGAAGAAAACACTTTATTTAACATCTAAGGAAGATTTGAGGCAAGTGAGTCCAGAATTTCAATCCAGACATCCCCCTTCCCTGCAAGCTCGTACCTAGCCCAATGTACCCAAATTCACTTGGTGACTCCTTTGTTTGATTTTGAGTTCTTTCTCTGCATAAGGCTGTTGTAACCTACATCACCTGGAATGTGTCTTCTGCCTAATCTGGATGGAGCTCTTGGAACTTAACTGCCCTGTGCCCAAATGCCCAGCTACCCCACGACAGCCCTGTTTTGGGAACACCTAAGGTACACTGAGCAGATGGCTTCTCTTGCCACGCTTACACAGTTGTAGCTGCTTGCTTTGGACGGGGTAGGTGCACGTGCTTGTGTTGGAAGGGGCTGGGGCCTCCGCGGTGATTCTGGGGGTGGGTCAGGGCATTGCTCCTGTGCCCCTGGAGCCCTTGAGGGCCACGCTACAGCTGCAGGAAGAGCTGTCACAGGAGCAGCTGCCAGCTGGGGCCGGTTGGGATGGTGCCTCAGTTCTGGGCTCGGTCCTATGGCACGAACAACTTTCAGAGTCACCGTCACAGCTCCTCATTTCTCGCCAGCACAGCGTCTGACCTTACTCTGATCTCTGATGGACACTGATAATCTACTTCTAAATATTACCCCGTTCCCTCTAATCTGTTTTCTTTTCCATCATGCTTTGCTGCGTTTCCTCCTAATTCCACAATTTTGCTTCTCGGCTTGCCTAATAAACGGAGATGTGGTCAGCTTGGACAAATCCATTAGCTCTGCTTCCTGTGTTTCTGGAAGACGCATGTCTTCGCTCCGAAGGTGACTCTATCCCGCGCCATCCCTTTGAGGTGTTGCCACGCATCGGTTCCCGCTCTCCTGAACGTTAAGGGATCGATCTCTGTGCCTCCGGCCCCCCTCAGCCCCACCGCTGTGGACGTTACTGGTTTCCAGCGGTGGGCTGCCTTCCAGTTTCCCAGAGCAGAAATGTGCCATAAATTACGGCTTGGTCGGGTCCAGCCCTAGCAGATGGAGCCCCAGGGACTTCGCGGAGCCTCCCCACCCTCGGGAATCTCCCCGGCCATCCGTCCCTGCCCGGCTCCCTGTGCCCGCCATGGTCCCTCCTGCACTTCCAGAACCTTCCTGGTGTGGAGGCGCCATTTCCCGCCCAGGGCGTGTGACGGCTGGGGGGGGCGCTGGGGAAAGGGTCGGAGGAGAGGACGGAGGGACCGTCCCTCAGCGGTAGGTTCCTCGCTGTCGAGTCCTGAGCGCCGCGAGTCACTCCCGTAACAACAGCTGTTGTTCATGCCAAGGAGAAGGCAGCAGATCGCAGCGCCTGCCCGGGCTGTACGCTGCCAGGGCTGGGTGAGCGTGCTGAGGCCCCACTGCACAGTTGGTTTGAGATGGGGAGAGGAGGTTGAAGTCTCTGGTTCGGATTGTGCTTTTTTCCACCTCTGATTTCCATCCCGCAGAGGCTGATCAAAGCCTCCGAAAGCCGGGCGCTGCGCGGGGCATCCCCGGGGAGGTGGGGACGGCGCGGTGGCGTGAGCGGGAGGACGCTCTGCGGCGAGTCCCTCGCAAGGGCCTGACATCGGGGCTGTGCTCACTGCTGGCTTTGCTGGTATCACTCGGTTACTGTTAAACGGACCCCAAGTCAGTAGTGATTTATAAATACTGTTAGGAAGTACCTCAGTGCCAAGTCCCAGACAGATTATGCTCAGACTCCGCGCAGACGTGGAGATGAAGAGCCCAGGTCTCGGTTGCTCCCCGGCAGTGGGTGGGAGCGCAGGCAGGAGGGCTGTGGGGGCCCTGGGGATCACAGCCAGCTGAAAGAGCCAGTGATCTTTAGTGGAACATGAACAGATCTTTAGAAAAGTGTGGTTTTTTTTTTTTTTCTTTTTCTTTTTTTTTCCTCCCCTCTGCTCACCCGTTGCCCTCTGTGTTTTAATCAAAGAACTTTGCTTCGTTTAATTTTCCTTGAAACTCTTGTTCTCACAGCTTTTTAACTTCTGTGTTTTTACCTTACTTTTCTCTTTTATCTTCCTACTTTTCCCTCCCTTATTGTCATGATGGAGGGGAGAACTGAACTTTCTCACCTTCCCTCTCCCGATCTTGGGTTTTTTTGGTATTATCAAGAAGTTAAATTATTGAACTCCGTGGTTCTCACTGATGTTGCCAGCTTTGGGGAGGGTTGCTGTGCAGGGAAGCTTTGACTGAGGAACTGGGAGCTCCCCGTAGCAGCCCAGCTCCCCGGACAGGGAGTCTGGTAGTTCAGTTCATTCCACACCAGTCTCCCTGAGCCGTGCCTTGTTCTCCCTCCTCTGCACCCAGGTACCTCCTGCGGTGTGTGGCTGCAGAGCGGGGCTGGACCGCGGCATGGACTTGGTGCTATCTGATGCTGTTACCTGCAGCCTTTCGGTATGTGGGTGACTCTGCGCATCTGCCACTGTTGAAAGTGTTTGTGGCAGTTCTGATTTCTCTGGCAAACAAACGGGTCTGTGGATGGGTACTTCTGTCTTACCTGTGCTTACAAAGTGATTGTAAAAAAATCTCTTAATAGCCGAGTCAGTGATTACAGTGATGGCATTGAATGCTGCCCTTTACAAGCATTTAGGAATAGCTTGTGGCCATGCTTATTCGCACCCCGCGCTGCCATCCCTGCAGCGGCTGCCTTGTGGCCTGTCTTGCCAGCTTGCTGTCAGAAACGAGCCCTGTGCTCATCCCTGTGCTCATCCCTCTGCCTTGCTTACCTGAGGCTCACACTGGCCTGTTCTCCCCACGTATGTGCCAGTTTGCTGCCAGGAATGAGCTGCAGGCAAGCTGGCAGGGCCAGGGGACTCCAGAGTTGCTCTGTCCTGTGCAGCTCAGCTCACGGGCATCGGCTTTATCCTCTCTTCGTATTAGTGTTTCTGTCTTGGAGCTGGTGGGACTGAGATGTCCCTTTCTATGGGCTGGGATTGTTCACTGTGTAGGGCTCCAGACGATGTCTCCCAGCTGCATTGCCGGGCAAAGGCTCAACTCCTCCCCATCCCTGACAAAAAGTGTCTGTCTGCTCATGGCCTGGCGCTGGCCCCGGCTGCTTAGCCTGATGCTCTGTCATGCTTTGCTGTTGTGTTGTTCACCTACTGATTTCACTGTTGTAAAAATCCTAGATAGTTTTCTGTGCAGTGTAAACTTGTCCCAACTTTGTGCCAGACCAAGCTGCAGCAGCTGTAGCAGAGGTGCTGCTCCCCCCCCAAGACCCTGCAGTGTGCTCCTTGCTGCCCACTTGAGCAAGAACAAACTGCTCCAAGCACAAGCTGAGCACTCGCTGTTCTTGGGTAATGACTGTTTATAGAGCTGTCACCTCCTTTTGGAGATGCTGACTGGCATGACTGCTAATGCGCCTCTGCCTGCAAGCACACACAC